AAAAAAAAACGATTTTATTAGTAACAGAATAGCTAAAACAACAGAATTTCATAGAAATACAGCTGCAACATACTTTGCATGTGTGCTTGAAAATATATGCTTCTGGTGTTATATCTAAGCCAATGAGCCATTATTTGGAACCTCAATGAAATTGATTTAAAAACATGTGAGCGGAAACGCAGAAAGAACTGGTTTGAAAGAACTAGAAGAAATAACTGCTACCATACTTTACAAGTGAGAGGAAACATGCAATATGGATGCAGACAAACTCATGAAGACTGTACTATCATTCTTTATAACTAAGAGTAACAAAGACAAAATAATTTTATAGAAAACAATGTTGTACATTAAATGTTAAGTTTATAATACTCTGATCTGATCATAAAGTCTTTCCGAGTCACAGGGCTCAAGTCCAAGTCAAGTCTCGAGTCATTGCTGTCAAAGTCTAAGTCGAGTCTAAAGTCTTCTTTAATTATGTCGAGTCGAGTCGCAAGTCATCAAATTTGGGACTCGAGTCCGAGTCAAGTCTCGAGTCATGTGACTCGAGTCCACACCCCTGCTAAATATAGAGGAGTAGAGGAGTCCAAACTAAAACTAGAGGAGTCCAAACCAGTGAAGAACCTGCGTTGGTTGAATAAACCTGCTGGTTTGTGTCAGTTCTTCAGAAACTACCTTCATTCAGTACCTCTTCATCCTTGGACTCGTCCTCATCGTCCTCCAGGAAGGGGTTAAAGGTCACGGGCCGGTGGCGGGAATGAGCGGATGGAGCCGGAGCTGGAGCCGGAGCCGGAGGAAGACGAGACCAAGGACCCGGATCAACCAGCTTCATCCAGGGATGTTCTTTACGGACAGTGCTCTGGGACGAGACTGAGACCGGAACGAGAAAAACACACGAGACACAATAAAACATGCATTTCAACTGATACAAATTTCAGATTTCATCAATTTAAAACATCAAGGTAAACCATCACTGTAATAATCACCTATTTAAAATTAAATATACTGTATAAAACCATTATATTTAACAGTAAAAGAAATAACAAATGAACAAATCTAGGAAAAATGTATTTGTTTTGTGAGTACTTATTTGAACAAGACATTGAAAACAAGGTGAAGCACATGATATAGAGCCATATGAATAAAAGAACCAATCATATTAAGCTATCATCACTGTAACAATGATATATTCAGATTCAATTAAAGAGGGTTGTTTTAGCAACTATGAAGTGATATCAACCTAAAAATGGTTTTGTACAGATATTGCTTTATATAGTTTTAAATTATTCAGTATTATGTATTTAATGTTTTCAGACCTATTCAGATGAACACTCACAAAAACACCCACGAAAATACAATAAAACGATGAACAAACTCTGCTAATTTTTAGTAAATGTGATGACAATATTATTGACAACAGTGTATGTAAAACTGACAAAAAGTCAATCAATATAACATTATTAATTATTCATTGCCCAGTGCATGCTGGAAGAGAGTGAATGGGACTGAACAGAAAAGCTTTTGGCTGTTTGAATTCAAATAAATGCATTAATCATGAATTATCACCGGACAGCTACTGGAAACACATAAGTTGAATGTAGAGCTGAAACAGTCTGTTTTATGATGTTTACACTGTAGCAACAGTAAGTGTAACATAGTAACACAGAGATGAAGATTCTAACCGTTGTTAGGGCGATGATCCGGTGATCTGGGGGTGGGGCAAGGAGGTTCCTGAGGCTCCGCCCTCTTTCTGGGAGCAGGTTTGGGAGGTTCTTGTATGTCAGTCTCTGATGAGGTGGAGAGACGTCCATCATTCATTTTGTCTTCATCTGTCTCACTCCTGTCTCTGTCTGTCTCACTCCTGTCTTTATCCGTCTCACTCCTGACTCTGTCCGTCTCACTCCTGTCTCCGTACGTCTCACTCCTGTCTCTGTCTGTCTCGTTCCTGTCTCCGTATGTCTCACTCCTGTCTCTGTCCGTCTCACTCCTGTCTCCGTACGTCTCACTCCTGTCTTCATCCGTCTCACTCCTGTCTCTGTCTGTCTCGTTCCTGTCTCCGTATGTCTCATTCCTGTCTCTGCCCGTCTCACTCCTGTCTCCGTACGTCTCACTCCTGTCTTCATCCGTCTCACTCCTGTCTCTGTCTGTCTCACTCCTGTCTTCATCCGTCTCACTCCTGTCTCTGACCGTCTCACTACTGTCTCCGTACATCTCACTCCTGTCTCCGTCCGTCTCACTGGTGTCGTTCTGTGAGTATTGATCTGCGGGCCGGTCGTGATCAGAAGCAGGTTTGCAGGGATAACTGCACTGCAGTGAACCCGTCTCCCTGTCCACTGTGAAAGAGATCGGCAGCAGAGAGCGACGACAGCGACTGCATCTGAAACACACCGGCAGACGATCAGGACAGTGAGTGTGAGAGACAGTTTGTATGAGTATGTACAGGTTTATATATACCTGTGAAGGTCAAATGTCCTCGCTTATATACTGAAATATCACGACAAACGACAAAGGACATTTGACTGGTCCTCACTAGTTAAAGGTTTCTGTGATGGTTATGTTTAGGGGTCGGGTTAGGCCATAAAAATATCACTAATCTGATATAAAAACAATGGAAGTCATGGAAGTCTATATGCAATATTTTCACTAATACAGTGAAACAAACGTGTGTGTATTTAGAGAGAGTGTGTGTGTTCAGTGTTTGTGTGTTTGTGACAGTGTGTGTTTTACCTGAAGCAGGAGCGGTGATACAGGTGTCCCTTCACCAAAACCCTCTGAATGAGATGAACACGCGTGTGACAGACACTACAGACTCTTTTATCTGACGATCTGACCACATCTGATGAGAACTGAGAGAATGAGAGCAGAATGATGAGTTATCAGACAGACTATCAGACAGACAGACAGACAGATGGACAGACAGACAGACTTCAGTCTGGATCCAGAACACCTGAGATGATGCCAACCCCTCAGAGGACCTCAGATGATGCCAACCCTGAAACAACATACAGAACTACCACATTTTGCTATAAGTTTGATTGCATCATATAATAATTGCTGTTAATAGTGTTCATCTTCTGTTTGATTACGTCTTTAATTGATTTTCCGTACATTTCTGCCATATGTACATTAACTGACAGTCACCACTGATAAGCTACCACTAAATATTGTAGAAACTTAATTTGCTGTAAAGTTGCTTTGCAATGATTTGTATCGTGAAAAGCGCTGTACAAATAAACTTGACTTGACAGACGGGTGAAGAGATGGACAGACAGAAGGACAGGCAGCCAAACAGACAAAAAAACAACAACAACAACAGGCAAGTAGATAGATAGATACCCGAGTGTGTGTCTGTTCTTGTGTTTTGGTGCTGCTGGATTCATTGTTCACAGGAATCTTCTGACTGACTGATGAAAATACAGAGATTATCAATCAATAAAATGACACATTTCAGTTCTAATGAATCATGATGAACATGCGAGATCTTTAACGGTCAATGGTCTCTCATGATCAGTACCGTGAGAGTTTCCTCTGAAGACACAGTAGAGCTGAGAGATGTAAGTGATGATGGACAGTAGATCCGGCTCCTCCACAGACACCAGCTCATCCGGATCTAAAAGAGCAGGAATTCCCAGCTCACGCTCCGCAACATCAAATGCCTGATGAAGAGGAATAAAGTACATGAGATGGATAAATCACTCAACACATTCATCACAGGTATAACAGGGAGCTTCTCTGGAGCAAAAACCTGAGATCTGAGATAGTTTATTACAATTTATAAGGATAAATGAAGCTCTTTGAGTGTTTTTCTGAAGAGACTCCTCCGTCTCACATGTGATGTTTCAGTCTCTTTAACAACAGGAACTAAAGTCCAGCTGATGTCTAAACTCACCAGACACATGTTCTCGTAGACGTTGTGTTTGGACAGGGAGTGAAAATCTCTGCAGAGAGAAACAAACAGAGAGCTGAAGATACATCAGATAAATGCAGAACACATCTGAATATGAGAAGAAATGGAAGACATACAGTATTATGTATTATGTAGAAGAGGCGGAAGACATACAGTATTTCTAAACAGACCAGAAAACACTACTGATATGTACATTTGAATAAGACCAAGAGTTTTCAAACTGGGCTATAGAGGAATCAATCAATCAATCAATCAATCAATGTATATGGACTGTGAAATGTTTAAATGTGCACCTATGATAATATTTAATATATTTTTATGATTAAATTTCACTCATTTATAAAATTTGATACAATTTCATATTTCGTCATTGGTTCATTCTGCATATCATAAACCACAGGAATTCAAATTATTTTATTAAGCTGACGGCATTAGTTTTTAACATTTAACAATAGAGGAAAAACAAATATGTGTATAGATTTGCAACTGTTTTAACAGGTTGCTTAAGTAGGCTAAAACAACTGTGTCGCCACTGTGACCAGCTGGCATTCCTAAAAAAGGTGATACCATGGTACAAGAAACATCACATACTGAAAGATTACCATAGAATACAATGGTAAAGGTATTGTTATCATGTGCATAACTCATGATAATATTATGATAATACAGTGATGTGTTGATAATTTATGCAAGTTTCTTTCTTTAACTAGTTTTGTCCCATAGGATATCTTTTTAAAGATGATCATGTAATTTTTCAAAACTCATGACTCAATGAATCGTGTTGACTCTTACAGTAGATCGGGTCTGTGTTTGTGGATGATCGCACAGAAAGCCAGTCCATCTGTGAATGAGGAGCTCATGTCTGTGATGAGAACATCAGAGTAACCATCACAAACATCTCCACACCAGTCCTGAAGAGCTTTCAGTGAACACATGACCGGACAAAAAACAACAACACTTATTTAGGCTACTTCAGTCACTCCGGTCAAAGCATCATTGACGCTAGGAAGCGCTCTTCAGACCGGAACAGAATATAACGGGACCCGATCAAATGTACCAATCATGTCACTTGTTCATCGGTTTCGGGGTGATTCCAGTTCCATTGCTTTCACACAGCTGCAAAATGTTCTCGTTTATAAATGCACAAACAACTCATCAGAAATCAAACCGTTAGGGATCCGCATCTGTTTTCAGCGTCGGTCCGTCAATCTTGCTCCGGTTAAACGGTTAACATTTGGTTAGATCAAACCGACTGATGATGGCGATCACGAGTCCGTCCGAAGCAGTAAACATCAGCAGCAAACAAACATACAGATCCAAAAACTATCAATCCAACAGATGAGTTCATATTCTCATAAAACAGTTCTAAAGAAACACGTTACTCGAACACGTCTGAAAACAAAGTAATTTAAACACAAACACGCTGCTTCTGAAGTCTGAAAACGTGAATTTCCTTTGAGGTTGTGGTGAACAACTAAAAGAGGGCAGCTGTGAGCATGCGCGAAACAAACAAACACACACACACAGCGCAGGCAGTGTTTCAAGAATTCAATGTGTGATTTCTAGACGTAGCTATTTCAACATAACTAAACAAATGCATTCAATAAGTTTATAGGTTTAGGTGGATGTTTTAAAACGGTTTACAACACTGTTTAAAACCGTTTGTTAATAAGTTTCATGACAAAAACCACAGCAATCCTTTGTAAGCCATCTCGGAGTCACAGCGCCTCCTTCCGGAGAGAAACAGCGTCGCATGACTCAAAAATGAAAGTGAAAGTTGTGACATTTTGCTCGAGTTGAATTCTGACGGAAGACATCACCTCGAGTGTCGTGTGCTTCTCAGTACCGCCACAAGTTGACAAGCCCGAAAATAAAGTCTTGTTATACGTAGTACACACGTTTTCTCTGCAAATCATCTTAAACTTTCACTGCATTTGAATGAATGGTTTCTGAAAGTTGCATAAACTCATCCAGTCATATCAATTTATTTATTTATTTTACTTTAAGACTGGCCATACATTTTTATGGCCAACATATACATCAATGTTAGTTCAATCAATGTCAGCTCTATATTCTGTTATATAGTTCATTGTTAATCCAACATAACTGGTACTTAAATGTCGCTGAGAAAACAACAACAAAATATCAGTGTTGCCTTGCTATCTGAATTGACTTCCTAACAGATTAACCATAACCTGGACTCATTCACCCTGAACACATGCAGTTAGATATTATAGAGATTTATTTAGACATTATAGAGATTGTACAGGTGAGATTGCATGTTAATTTTATAGCACATCAGGCAACATTATGTCTACGAATAGCTGATTTATGTTACACTTAATTTATGTTACACTATGTTACACATCTGATTCTCAATGACTGTTGAATCATATATGTGATCATTATGTAATAGCTGAATTCCTTTGATTTCTTCACTTTGTCAAGCTGACTGAATCCAAGTTTGTGGGTATCCTCTTGAAATAAAACTAAAACTAATTTCAACTAATTTTAATGGGCAGCTAACACAACCAAACAAATGACAACACTGAACAAAGAACTGTGGAAACACAAGGCATAAATGAGTTACTAATGATGAGTTAATGAACAGAACAGGTGAACAAAATAAGTAATAAGGGTACAAATGCTAGGAAACTAGGTCAAGGTATATGTGTTAGGGAAACAGAACTAAAGCAAAACACCAAGAACAACATAATCCTGACAGCAGCAATAACAATGCAGTCTGTTTTATTTCATGGTAAGCAGGCAGCCAAACACTACAAAAATGCAAGAAAACGGCAACCCAGCAGAAAGCAGATCCATTCAAATATAGTAAATATTTTAGATGAAGGCTTACATCAAAAACAGGCTATGAATTATTTGCCGACAACAAAATATGCATATTTTGCCTGGATGTCTAAACATGACTAGAAGACTTAAATACTCTTAAAAAAAGTATGGATTCTCTTTTACACATAATGACAGATTTTCTATTAAATGAGAAATACAACATTTGCTACGTCATAAGAAAACATTTACAAAGACTTGAACTACTGAGAAAACAAGAGACTAAACATGAGAACAATCTACCACTGAATACAGGAATATCAAAAGAAAGAAATTTAGACAAAGATACACAACTTATTAAACATTTAAGGTTAAATAAATAAATAAATACATTTATTTAAAATAAATAAATAAATGTTCTCTGCAACAGGATACAAGTGAAACAACATTTTGTAAAATAAAAGTGGTGAATACCATAAATAGAAATTGATTAATAGAAATACAGGTTCTGCTTTGTGTGGATGACTTTATAAAACAAATATCAAAATCACAGTTTGAAATAAACATGTTCTACATCTATATTTAATATTGATATTAGACTGCTGCTGATCCAGTGTCGTCTCATGGATACTGTAGGAGATCATTTCCAGCTGTTCTGCTGTATGACAGTGTTTTATTCTGTTCTTGATTTCTGTTCTTAAGCTGGAGCACAGCAATGAGGACAATGATGATGAGGATGATAAATATGAAGTTGTAGATTATCCCAGCAAACACCATATTGAAAAGTAACATGTTTCTCTGTTGATAAGCTGTTGATAAAGTTGGAAGCAGCTTTGTTACTCTGCATGGTCCTTCCTTCTTCCATCTTTTTTACATCTCTCTTTTATTCTTCTCTATTTGACCTTTTAACTCTTCACTTCTTCGTAACTGTCTAATTTTTACTCTGTCAAGTGCTGGTCTTCTTCATTTTCCTCCTGTTGTCTTCTCTCCTCCTCCTCCTCCTCCCTCTGCCTCCTCTGTACGCGAGCAGCTGCGGCATTAAAAGCTCCATCCGCAGCAGCAGCAGCAGCAGCAGCAACACCAGCAGCTCCAGCAAGAACAGCACCAACAGGTGCAACAACGACAGCTCCAGCACAAGCTGCACCAAAGATAAAAATATAACGAATAATGCCTTGTGCTTTTCGCATCTCTTCCTCTCTCCTTCTCCTCTCTTCCTCTCTCCGTCTGTCCTCTTCTATCTGTCTCCTTTCTTCCTCTCTCCGTCTCTCTTCTTCTCTCCTTCTCCTCTCTTCCTCTCTCCGTCTGTCCTCTTCTATCCGTCTCCTTTCTTCTTCTCTCCGTCTTCTCTCTTCATCTCTCCTCTCTTCCTCTCTCTGTCTTGTAACGAATCAGCTCATGGGAAATATTAATAATTAATCATAACTAGTTATAATTAATTATTCATATTTTAGATCCGGCAGTCTCATTTCTTCTTCCATCAGTCTTCTCTTTCTTTCCTCTTGCCTGAATCTCCAAGCATCTTCATACATCTGATTACTGTAATGTCCTCCTCCGTTCTGCTCTATCATAGTGTTAGACTTCTGCTCTATATCACTGACCTGCTCTCTGTTATTCTGATCTTTATTGTTGAAGACCTGATATCTGCCTCCACACTGATCTACTAGATCTTTTAATCCACTGTTCTCTCTGATGGCTTGCTCCATGGATTTTCCTTTTAGCTGATCTCCGTGAGTGAAGAGAATGATGGAGTATTGTAACACCTCCTGACCAAACATCATCTCAATCATCTGAGGAATCTTCTCCTCCTGTTCGTGATCCTCATATTCACATTAAACACAATGAGAAAAGCATGAGGTCCAGGACTGGATAAATAAACACTTTTCATGATCTCTTTCATTAACTCCTCAGGGCTCATTTTTGTATCAAATAATCCAGGAGTATCAACTACAGACATTTTTCTTCCTGAAACAGTGATGTGTTTCTCTGAACATTCACTGGTTTCTGATTTTGTGTCAGGTGTAGATTTAAACACCTCCTCTCCCAGTATTGTGTTTCCAGCTGAACTTTTCCCAGCACCACTTTTACCCAGAAGAACAATCCTCCTGCATGAGACGCTGTCATCAGAGGTGTCCTGGACAGTGATGGCAATGCTCTGCCAAGGATTTTTGGAGACTGTATAAAAAAAAGAAAAGAAAAAGAAAACATATTACAAAACATTCACTTATTTCACCCTGAATGTACTTCTGTGCTAAATTATTACACTAACATACAGTTATCATCCAGCAAATATTAATTCTGCAGGCAGATAAAAGAGAAAGAATATCACCCTAGAGAAATCTGCAGATACTGTAAAAGAATGAATTAAATATTCTTATTATTTTGAATGAATAAAGCCTAATTCATTCATGTCTAATGTAAACCTTCCCTTCAAATTTGGTTAAAACAGACTTACGATTCTTTAAGTTGTTCTGGAAAACTTTAGTTATCAGAGATTTCACTTGGCCACTTGCTCCTCTCTTCTTGTTGTTGAACACGTGAAATCTGCCCTCATATTTCTGAGTAAGTTACTTCAAGAATTCAGTCTCATTAATTACTTTATTTATCTTCTTGTTTTCAGATTCCAGTTCATCTCCTCTGGTGAAGAGAATCCAGATTTTATTCAAACGTTGCTCTCCCAGCAGCTCATCGATCTTCTTCACAATTTCTTGATCTTCTTGTGTAGATCTGTCTGACCGAAGAACCAGGAGAAATGCACACATGCCTGATTCACATTTCTCCAGAACCTCCTGATATTTCCAAAGCTCTTCCTCACTCTCTGCACCAGAAAATCCCGGCGTGTCATAAACAACGATCAGTAATCCACAAACGACTTCAGTAGCAACATCTTGGGTGCCAGATTTGTAGCTTTTCATTATACTAAATGCTTCTCGTCCCAGTATTGTGTTCCCCGTTGAACTTTTCCCAGCTCCTGTTCTTCCCAGCAAGACCAAATTCAAACACACTTTTGGCATTAAGTGTGTTCCCTCCATTTTTACTCCATAACCTAGAAATAAATAACATCAACATGGTGTAAGAAGAAGAAGAAGAAGAAGGGAAGAAAAAAAAAACACACACATTGAATAATTTAGGTCCATGTATGTTTTGATCATTTATTTTCCT